GGGGGGGGGGGGGGGGGAGACGGTGGAAAAGTTTGACCGTTTATCTTTACGATGACGGAAATGACAGTTATGAGAAAAGTTTGACGTAAGAGCTTTTTATCCTTATGAGAAGAGGGAATAGAAAGTGAAAGTTGATGGTCTATATATCTCTCCGTTTCGTGTTCAAGTCTATATTTCCGACGACGTTGATTATAAATTCGGTACGTGGAATAGACATGGTTGTCCCAGGGGTTTGCTTAGATACTGGGAGAGTGAGAGGGGTCGCACCGCAGGATTGAAGAAAGTCCACTATCCTTGATGCGCCCCTGGGATTCAGAGTTGCGGTTCACCGTCGTAACGGACTCGTCGCGTCCCACGTTTTGTCTCAGGAGTCCTCGCTACTCCCCCATAAATACTTATGAAACAATGTTTCCCACAATAAAAATAAAAGGAAAATAAAGGGAAAAGTGAGAAAAACAAATTCATAAAAACAACGATAATCCAGGGGAGTTCTCCTTAAACTTTAATGGTTTAAACAGTAACTATCAACTTTTACGATTGCTGAAATGATGTTCTCTTTTTACTCGAATGGCGGTGGGTCGAGTAGTGCTAGTTAAATACACATTCGACACTGGAAATTCGTGAGTGCATCATGCGCAAAATGCAGAATGGGGGAATGAGAGAGGTGAACATGTATGATACAGTGGCATGTAGATGTTGCAATCTATATATACACTGTCTACGTATTTCTAGTTCAACTGGGAGAAGATTTAGTTTGGAGTAAGAAAAAGTTCATCCGTTTATTTTTCTATTAGCATTTGGGGCTTGGAAGTTTTGTGAGTTTTTTGCTCGTGAAAAAAATACCACGGAGGATTATGAGTTCCCCAAGGAACACTACTGGGCGAGCACTCGGATTTTACTCTAACCATATTATGCAAGATACTGTATAACCTACTTGCGCGTTATAGTCATAACGGAAGTATAAATAATTTTTTAATGTGCTTGGCAAGTAGACCCTCGTATTTTGCATTAAACACGAATAATTCCATTGGAATTTATTATAATATTTCCCTCTAGAAATTAAGAACTTTAGGGATGTTTTTTTCACTTGTTTAATTTCTCTTTGTTTTGTTCTGTTTTGTTCCATTCTGCTTTTTTCTTTCATTCAATTCTAGTCTGGTTACGATGCGCGACCCTGCGATGTTGGTCCCCTCCGCGGGGAATCGCCGCCGGGTTATGCAGGCTTCAGCGTTGCCGAATTCACTCTACTTTGCCCTGACGCGTTTAGCGAGTTTGCGGCAACGTCGCGTAACAGACAATTCGATTTACGGCTATCCAAGTAGTTCGATTAATTTTTTGAGGGGAAATCGATTACAGAGTTTGTAGAATAGACCAACAGTACTTTTTAGGCGCAATATCAAATTTACTTTCCAAATTTACTTCCAAAAACTGCTATAATTTGTTAGACACTTCAACGGAAAAAGTCATTTTTTTCCTTTTCCGGTTAGCCAGTCAATGGCAATTGAAGAAGAACGACACGCTGCGGTCTTTCCCTCATCAGGTGAACAATCCAGAGTTAAGAGCAGCGTTCCGTAGCACATAATTTGCGGGCAAACGTGGCCATTCTACGTTATCTATTCTCTTTTTATACCTCTTCCTCAATTGCTATGATGTTATCCTAGTTCGACGTCAATTATTTCTCGGTGAAGTGTACCAACAATACAATTCAAGTGCAGATTCCTGGGCAGGGGTCATCTTTCTTCGGGCCCGTCAGTAACTTTTCGCACTGAAAAAAAAAATCTCCATTCTAAGGTCAGCCCAGGGAGATATCACCGATAGTCTTTCCTTCCCCTATTGTCTATCGTTTTCTTCGACGTGTCTCTCTACCCAGCTTTTCTACAATTTTATTTTTCTACTTGATGATTTGTCTTCGTCCATTCCACAGTCAATTCCTTTACCAAGATGAGACACCATTTATCCTCGAACCAACGTTGAATTTCATTTATGATTTATCGAAGTGAGCCAGATAACTCTGAATGATTCAATAATATGAAAAAGAAAATATATAACATGCCTCAGACTTTTTTCGAATGATGAAGTGTTACGAAAGTAATATCCATCAGTTTTCATCGTAAAAAAAAGTACTCAAAGACGAAACATAAATCAGCTTCTATCAGTTGCAGGGAGAAAAAAATATAAACACGTATACAGCATTTGAATCTTTCTTTTTCATAGCGCTTCACGTCACAACCAACTCAATGGTGTGCTTCATATATTTCTCATGTAAAGGGAGCACAAACCAAAAGCCATGAGGATTGCAGGGGTCGCAACAGTTCGACTCCGGGGGAATCAAATACTGATCCCCAAAAATTGCGTGCGTAGAATATGGTATGGATAAGGGGGTAAAGATGGATGGTGAAGATGAAATTGAGAGGGTGTACGAGCGTAAGAGGAAAGCAGGTGGAAAGAAGCAGGTGACAGTGAGCATGTGACTGAAGATTTTCTACACTGAAAATTCAATGGTAAAAAGTAAAAAATGAGTGTTCCCGAAAAATTTTTGATTTTTTTTTCGAAAGGCTGAGACAATTTTACATAAAATCGGTGCGTAAAAACGCGGCCACTGTGGGTTTAATGAGAAAAAAAATTTAATCAACATTAAAAATCATTATTCATAGAAAAAATTCAAATTCAAAACTTTGAAAATATTTTTTTTGAAAAAGTCAGGAAATTCCCGATGGCACATGCTATTAACTGGAGATATTTTTTTTTTATACGGTCACATGAAAACTGTAAAAATTAAAAAATGAGAAAAATGCAAAAATAGGTGTTTCTCTGTTATTTACGTAGCAAAAGGTCATAAATTTTCACAGTTTATTCCTTTGAGCGTGGTTAACAAAATATAAAGTAAAATTAAAATCGAAATTTGGAGGCCCAAACACATGACACTTTTGGTGAAATGTCTCATATATAAAAAAATTATATCTAACTCCACATAACTAACTCCACATGCACTGGGTTCGTTTTCCGGCGATGAAAAAATCTTTCATCACCGGGACTCGAACCTGCGCTACTGGGACGCTTTGGTTTATAGGGCCAGCACGCTGACGACGAGCCCAAAGACGTCCCTTCAAATGTCTCATATATATTTTTATCGATTGAGATAAAAGGCATGGAGAGAAATATTTTGACGAAAAAATGATCGAACTCGGTTGAAAAGCATTCGAGGTATTTGCGACAAATGATTTAGAAACAAATGGCGATTTTTCCACAACAGCTGGCTCGATTGGGTTGAAATTGAGCACTGACTCAGTCCTCATTAGTCCTTCAATTCTTCGGTTTTCTCAAAATTACCCATCGAGTGGACACCTGCGCACACACACATGGTCGTCAATCTTCATATTCTAAAATTTCACACCACTCTACATCATTTCGAAGAAAAATGAGGAAACGATTTCAATGTTTCCATTTCGGAAGCAGGTAGACGATGAACACTCCTGCGAGATTATCGGTAAGATGTCACTCATATATATTCAATTCGACGTTACACTCTCTACTCCCTCTACTATATTAATAATTCATGGCTCATCATAGCCACGTAATTATGCTGCCTCCTCACAGAGTTTGAAAATTAAAAATCTAAATCAGCTACTTGCTCCCCTGGATATTATCCCATCCTACGTACAAACACTTTGAAAATATCCTGGTGGTGCATGTCACATGGAATTCGTGACACTCTACTCATATCTGAATTCATTACCTACTTTATCTTCTGAAACTTTAACCCAGTAACATGGCGAGTCAAACTGCTGTATTCCCTTCTGCCCTTTTCCCTTTCGCTTCTTCGTATCTATTTGAGTCGCTCTGAGTGTCCTTGCAACAGAGGGTAGGAAGTCACGTCGTAAAGATATACATGGGTTTATACATGGTTAAGACGACCAAAAACTTTCGCGCAGAGGGTATGGGCTGAGAGCTACTAGTGGAAAGCCTGTTACGTTGAAATTCACGAGTAAAACATGGGATTTCATCCGAAAATACAACACAGCATGTGCAGAATACACAGATAAACTGAAGGTTATATTGCATCTTTCGATTCACCGGGATTTTACGTGTCCCCTGCATCACGGGAATTACTGTCATGAGTTTATTATTAATTTCAGAGCAGGATCGACCGAGAGAGGAAGAGAGAGACAGAGAGAAGGCTGAAAGCTTGTCATGCGAACACCTGGGGAACGACTGTGGGGGTAATATTAAGCTCCTTGGTATCCCGCTGAGTTCGATTCCTGATAGAGGCAGTCTTTTTTACTTGCCCTCGCAGCGTCACGTCACATCTATCTAGAAATTTTCTAGAGCGTGAGTAACATGAGAATCATGATTCCCGTGAGCCTGAGAATGAACGATCTAATTTCAATATCCATTTTCTCTACTCCTTTATTTTCCACCATTATTTACTTTATTTTCCCTCATGTTTTTGTTGAGACGTAAGTGGAGATGAGGAAATACCCTCAGAATTAATTATTCTATGGGAATATTACATTTATGAATAAGTGGTGTTGCAATGTACGTTGATCTTTAAGGGGTCGTAAGATATTAGGTGTTCTTAACCCATCGTACAGCCACTCATGAGCTTCAAGTTATTTCAAAGGTAGCTATATGAGTTGATGGATAAGGGTCGTCGAGACGTAGAATTCACTAACGTCGGTATTTCTCATTGTATCTTCTGCACGGCTCG